CATGGGGTCACGAAGAGTCGGACACAACTTAACGACTGAACAACAACAACGTTTTATTTTCTCAAGCTTTTACTTGTCTCCAGTCAAAACTGATTTATGATGGCAAGAGTCCACAGGCCTTATCCCACTGATCTCCCAAAGGAAAAAATAGCAGCATTAGAACCTTTTTGTAGTGATTCTCAGGCCTCTTGGAAGGGCCAAAAGCTGGGAAGGGATGCATGGTTTGTCTATCAGCAGAAAAAGAACCACCTGCCAACCCAGTGCATTTGGGAACTGATTATCTCAGTTCCTAATAAACAGACCACCAGCATTTAAACAGATTTTTAAATTTAAATCTGCATTTAAACTTATTTTTAGAGATAAGAAATGTATATCTACATCATTTTGAGAACACAGCACACTGGCCCCAGGATTTATTGCCTTTGAAGCAATTAAGGTTGTCAACTTTGGGAAGCAGCCAAGAGACAATGTCATGGCAGAGGCAGGTAGGCTCATGATGAAGCCAGGTGGAATCTGGTTTACGATGAGTGGAGGCTGGAAAAGGGGCTGCTCAGTATTGATTACCTAACAAACATTGTTTACTGAAATGAATCTGCAAAATGCTGTCTGGGTGGTTTGTTGCTGCAAGACCAATTGGTTACCTGATTCAATCACCTCACATGATAAAGGAGAGGAGAAAATGTTTGAAAACCACCTATTCCCGATTCTGTCTCAGCCAGAGAAGATCATACTACAGGTAGTTCTCGTTTAGCAACTACCTTGTTAAGTGACTGTTTGCTGTTATGATGGAGATGAAAATAGTAACTTTATGACCAATCCTCACATTACGACCTTCACAGGTCCGTAAAGCAAAGGAAAGCTGAAGTAAGATCATAAGCACAGTCGTGGTTTCATGTACAGACTGTTTCACTTAACGACTGAGTTGTCGGTCCCAATGGTGGTCGCTAAACAAGGACTACCTATACTCAAGTTACTACTCAGGGCCTTAGTTTTTGGCATCAATGTTAGGGGCACACTTTGTTCCTACAACTAAAACACATTTCTGAAAAGCCTACCCTAAGAAGAGTCTTCCCCTTCCTTGATAGACTGAAACCTGTTCCTTATCATCCTGAATTAAGCACAAAGCATAAGTCACGCGGGCCCACAACAGGCAACCTCTACTATGGGCACATTAGCTGCTGCATTTTATGCATCAAGAGTAGTTCCTAAAGAGTAGCCACCTGCTCTTTAGATCCATGCCCCTCCTGGCTGGTTAAAGCGGGCCAGGGGGGTGTGGTGTGAGTGGGTTCTGGCGATGATTAATGCTTCTTTGAGTGAGGAGGTTGTTCCTTTGCCTCTTAAGGAGGGTTTGGATCGGCCCTCCTCAAGAAGCCATCACTAGACTCCACTATACTGGACAATTTTTGTCCAGTATCTAACCTCCCCTTTTTGGGGAAGGTGATGGAGAAGGTGGTTGTGCAGCAGCTTCGGAGGACCTTGGATGAAATGGATTATCTGGGATATTCCACTTCAGTCGGGATTCAGGCCTGGGTATGGGACTGGGACTGGGACAGCATTGGTTGTGCTTTTGGATGATCTCTGGCAAGGGCGGGATGAGGGCTGTGCATCCATCCTGGCCCTACTTGACCTCTCTGCGGCTTTTGATAGCACCGAACATAGCATCCTTCTGGATTGGCTCAGAGGATTGTGGGTGGGCAGCATGGTGTTGTGCTGGTTCACCTCCTTTCTCCAGGGCCGATTCCAGGTGGTGGTAGCTGGGGAAGAGAGATCCTGCTCTCAGCCCCTACTATGTGGAGTGTTGCAGAGTTCGGTATTCTCCCCTCTCTATTTAACATCTGCATAAGGCCGCTGGGTGAGTCATCCATCGCCATGGGGTGAGGTATCATCAGTACGCTGATGTTACCCAATTATACATCTCTGTCCCTGGTGAATTAAGCAATGCTGTGAAAGTCTTATCCTGGTGCCTAGAGGCTGTGAGGGTCTGGATGAAGAACAACAGGTTTCAGCTGAACCCCGGCAAGACTGAATGGCTTTGGTTTTTGGGGTCTTCTGGTTCTAGGACTATACCGTCTTTGGTGCTGGATGGGGTAGCACTGCCCCAGGCAGACCCAGTGCACAATCTGGGGGTCCTCCTGGACTCGCGGCTCCTGCTCAAAGAGCAGGTGGGAGTCGTGGCCAGGAGGGCCTTTGCAGAGTTTCAGGTTGTGTACCAGCTGCACCCATTTCTGGATCAGGGGGCTCTGCACACTGTCACTCATGCCCTGGTCACCTCCCATTTGGACTTCGTAATGCGCTCTACGTGGGACTGCCCTTGAAGAGTATCAGGAAGCTTCAGCTGGTGGAAAATGCAGCAGCGCAGGCAGTTCTGTGTGCCCCTAGAAGGGTACCTGTTACACCTTTGCTCTGCAAGCTGCATCGGTTGCCAGTTTGCTTCCAGGTCTCATTCAAGGTAGTGGATAAGGTGAGAAAGGACAGCACACTAGCTCTGCCAGCAGTGTTTTTAATCCTAGCAACTGAGTTAGGTAAGAATAATGAAGTCCTTTAATGCAGCATAAAATGGGAACAAAGGGGGTTAGAAACCTGACAATCAGGAACACAAGCACAGAGAGTGGCCCATAGGTGCTCCTTAGACAAGCAATCAAGGCGCCTGGCCGCAGCTCTTTCCTTTGTATTTAATCCAATAAATCAAACAATAAAGTGGTTGGAGATGAGCTTAGATGCCAAGGCAGGGCAGGGGAGCCATTCTTGACAGAGGTAAGATGGGGGATTCCATAATGGCTTGATTTAAGAAGCAGATCCTCAAGAGTGTGAGAAAGAAGAATTCCAGCCTGATTATGTATATGTATCTAGATCAGTGAAGGTGAGAGAGGCTGCGTGAGTACCAGGGAATTCCTTCCTGAATCGGTGGAAATAGTTAGGCCTCAAACACCAAGGATGTGTAGCAGATATAATTGCACCCTCGTTGCACACAAGGATGCCTATGATTGATAGAGACGAGTGGTTCTGCTTCTTAGGTGCCATCATAACTACTCCATGTAACTCAGATTTAAGATACATGTACAAGCTATTGCAGGTCACAGTTGATCTGGGATGTGATGACTGAGGAGGCTCCTTGGAAGCCAATCATTAGCAGAAAATCAGGGCAGCAATCCAGTATAAAAAAAACCAAGGAGAGGAAGTTGAATCACTTTGCACATACTCCAAGGCACAAAGTCTGAGGAGCTCTATGCAGGTATGAACGTTTTCAAATGCATCTCTGAATATTTGTAATTGCCACAGGATGCCTTATTACTTCAGCAAACTTTCCATGTTTCAAATTTGGTTCAGATGCTTATTGTAAGGTGCTTGTGGCAGTACAAGAAAGGGAGGGGATAAAATCAGAAAAGGAGGAGTACATCCGCTGTTTACTTTCTCAGTGTAGGTCACTTCCCCCTATTTTTAAGCCAGATATTCCCTGCATCTACTAATAAAGACAGGATGAGTGTGCAAACGTATCTTCTGACCTGCATGGAGTAAAGTGTCCTCAAGACCAGTTTCTTTGGGATGTGTTTAAAATCCAAATAAACAGTAAAGTAGAATTTTCATTAAATGATGATCATACTAAGTGTCAACAAACTTAGATGTGGATATTTACTACAAACTAACACCACTCCAGGACACCCATCTTCCTTCCTTCCCTCCCTCCCTCCCTCTCACCTGTTCTTGGATAGTAGTCATTAACTCCACCCACGCATGTAATCCACTTAGTTTCGTTTCCAATTCTGTTTTGTGCAGAAAGCCATTGTCCAGGTCCTGTAGATGGATGAAGATCAGAGAAAAAGAGTTTGTGACTTTTCACTTTAGCTGGAGCTTTTAGCATAAATTTCAGTCACAAGCTAGGGGAAGGGGAGACTGATCTTTGCAGGATTAGCACTCTGCCCCGCCATTTGAAAATAGCATTAATAACAGGTCAGAAATTTTGACTTTAATTGGGAAAAATCTCTGCCAGCAGAATTTCTCTGAAATGTCCCACCAAAATGCTTGCCTTCCCCAGTGGTATCATGAGCTCCAGTAATTATACAGCTTAGAAACAAAAAACGACCCCCTGAGTCTTCTGTTTCTATCATTGCCATTCTGAAATTCAGGTGACATAAAGCATGTACCTGTGTTTGAGAGGTTAGAGTTTGTGGACTGGACCTCTTTTACTCTGACAATTTTCTTGCGGCATATCTGCTGGAGAGATTCTATGGCATTCATACAACAATTTATCAATACAGTATTTTAATGAGTAAGAATAAGTAATAATGGACAAATATTGCTTGCAATAACTTTAACAAGGAATAAACAGCACTTGCTGATGTTGCAACAAAGCAGTGGGGGCACAGGCCATCTTGTTCCTAGCACGTCATTCAAGGGACAGCTTGTTCAAAGAGGGGAACGGTCCTGCTCAGACTGCCACCACTAGTGCAGTCAGGGTGGAGGATGAGATATGTCTGCCCTGCATTTCTAAGTTTCAAATTTAGAATCCTTGATTTAGGGAACCAGGCTATGTACGTCTCTACAGATGTCATTTTCCACCATATGTACGATTTCCACAATACTTTAATAACACTGGAAATTAGACAGGAATCTGGGTTGGCCCACTATGTCATCTCTTAATCGTAAGTAAAAAGACATCAGGGGAATAAAGAAGGCAAGTGTGTTTTAATACAGGAAGAACACAATGAAAAGGAATTTACAGTTAATAATAGCAGCCTGCCCTGATCAGAATTGTTGACGCCTAGGCACCACAGCAATCACCCCCAGCTAACATTCAAAATTATTATCTATAGCTGGCATAAGAGAACTTGTAGTGGGACAAGGATTGTTACAAAGTTTAGAATCAGAAATGCTGGAAAATTCTATTATACATTGAATAGCCAATATAATTATATAAGCTTGACCAAGAAATCATAGATTGAATGCTAGATGAACCTGAACAATTACAGGGCCTGGGCCTGGATTCCTTTTTTAAAAAAAATTGATTTTCAGAGGAAAAGTTACAATCAGGCAAAACTGTTAAGAATTCATGGCCACTGTCCCAAGCCAGCACTTCTATGACTCATTTACCTGTTTATTCCAGCAACAACAATAAAAACAATCTGATATCATTATATTCTGGATTGCACTTTCTTTCTAAGTGGCAGTGAAGAAATTGTGGTAATGATAAAAGTTTTAAAATGGTGAAAATCAAATGCTAAACTTCAAAAATGTAAAAACGGAATTATCAGATAACGGGAATACATTTCTCGTTATCTTTCGTATGCATTTCAGCAATACTTTCTCAGGGTTATTGTTATTTTAAAATTCATGTCAAGCTCTGGCATATGAACTTTAAACAATGGAAAATGTTTGGCACCAATTTTAAAATGAAACCTTTTAAAAATTTAAACATAACAGAATCTGGCCTTTTCTTCCCACTTTGATATTATCCTGTTTCTTTCAAAACCATCCTTCTTCCTCCACTTTCCCGGGTATTGCTTATTCTAAACCTGCAAGTCATAATTCTGGAGATTAGGGATTACATTAAAGCAAAATAATGATCCAATTCACTAAGATTCAAACAAAACTACTTTTGTGTTAAACTGTCTCAATTCTGCAAAAGCTCAATCCAACCTACAGATGATTTATCCACCCAGACCCTGTGAACTGCTATCTTCTGCTGGATCTGAAATCGAAGAATGCTTCCCTGCTCACCTTTTTGAGTGTCGTGAAGGTGAATTCCAGCCCGCTGCGTTTGTTTATTTCTTCTTCGAATCTAAATGAAAGAGGGATGGTTGGTATGAATGAAATGCCGGAAGATATCATTAAAAGAGGCTGTGTAATTTAGGTTCTCTAGATTTCTTCCCGTCCTCTGTTTAGGAAATAGGACCAGTGATCCCACACAAGCATTCCACAAAAACCCTACACCTGGGCCATCTGTTCACTTAATTGTGAATTATTATAGCTCTTAGAAGCACCAACATATGGATCCATGATACTGGTTGCTCTGCAGGTGCACGCTAATGAGAGACCAGCCCTACCCTGAAGAGTTACCAGAGCAGCTATACAATGTCTGGGAAAATCATATACAAAATAATAATTCTGGAATTAATAGCAGAAAAAAGTAATGGCAGTAACTAAGTTTAGAACAAACGACAATTAGTGGGACTACTAATCACTTCGTCACTCGACTGCCTCAAGGAACAAAAGACCTTTCTTTCCAATACTTTGTCCCATTTCCTTCCCTGGTGCAAAGCATTTGTGGCTTGATGGTCACAGCTTCTCACTGGTCATCTCAATAGCATCATTCCGCATGGCAGTGCCTGAAATCAAATCATATCAGATGCTCAGGTATTCCATACCAATCTGTGAATGTAAGGCTTGCTAGCACAAAGGACACAGGAATTGCTCATACAAACTAAATCACCTTTATAAATCTGAACGTCCTCAGCAAAGCTCTCAGATATGCAAATTGCATCGGAGGAAATCGCAAAAGGTTTTTCATTGGATTTGAGCAAAGGACAAAGCATACATTTGGCTTTTGAAAGGGGCACTCTCACAAAATGGCTCTCATAGTGAGTAGCCAGTCACAAAATATCATTTATCAACTTGCTCCCTACCATACTAATCCCCTAAGATGCCTTTATGCCCCAGGGGGAGCACACTTCCAAGTAAAACTTTGGGCTGCACTCACCCAGCACTTTTTCTAAAAATGCTTACGAGGTCTTTTCATTTTAAAAAAAAACATTAAGGGATACTATTTGTCACAGCCAGTGTTGGCCACTTTTCTGCTTATGATTCAATCCCTACCCAAGGGCTTGGAAACAATAATAGTAATAATAATAACAATAACCACCACCACCACCATGCCAAATCCAGTCTAAACATCTGGCTGACTGTGTGAGCAACCATAATAACAATAATTCAAGTGGGGCAGGGAGACATCCACGGGAGCAAGTGCTATGGACATCCGGATGATCTGGTGAATCACTCTACATCTGATCATTTCTGTCCTGTAGTTTCTATAAATTAGTATTTAAATCTGTGGCTCCTAAACCATTTGACCCAATTACCCCTTTTCCTGGTCTCAGATAATGTCATTACCACCCAACCACCCTCCCCTTCCCCAACTGTGTCGTTTTACTACACAAGTGTCTCAGCAGCGGCAGTCCCAAAGGGGCATGCTGGAGGCCACACCCGGAAAACACTGCAGAGGAGGGGACGAATTAAATCTAATTAAATTAAAACCTAATTAAACCCCAATTAAATTAAGTATGGTTAATATACTACTCTCTCTGTATTCAATCATTTACCCTTTCTAACACATTAAAAATTACCTATGTGGAAACCATCTTTGGAGGAACCTCAAAAGCAAAACCCAAGACACAGACAACTGTAAGATATGTACCCCTAAGTCACTTAACTTAGATTCATGTAGCAGGAAGCCCCACACAAACTGTAGCTACCTGCTCGCTAGGTAATATGGAAGCAGGATCTCTAAATAGGTTTCCCTCCTTAGTGACCTCCTAGGACATTTTAAGGTACTAAAGCAGAGTGGGCAGTTCTAGGCTTGCTGAGGCCCCAAGTCTCTTCTATACAATTGGACTGCCACAGCTGAAAATGGGTGGCACAGTTTTTCTCCATTCAGAAGTAGAAAATACATAGAAGATGGGTTGTATACTCTAAAATAGGTTTGCCATACTTCTAAAATAACAAAGAAAAACCATAATTGCCTGGAATAAAGAAGGAACAACCCCAACTCTCTCCCTTCTGCATTACTGTCCTGCCAAGTGTGGCCCTCAGCCATCTCCTGCTACTAAAAGCATGCCATGCCCTTGCCTCTTTAGCAATGATTTTTTGCTTTCTCGATTCTGACATTTCTTTTTTAGGCAAGAAATGTGGGCACTTTCGTCTGTGAGGTGTAGATCGTATCAGTGCCTTCTGCAGTTTGGAAGCATCAAATCCCTTAAGTACCCCTACGACTAGGTGACTTGAGATTCTTTCAGGCAATCCACTTTTTACCAATCCTCCCAATCCTTCTCAACCTAATTTAAAGTATATTCAGCATTGATCCAGGCTATTTTAACTATTTGCTAGATATAGAATAGATCTATTTGAATAGATCTATTCAGACATTAGCATTCTATACCCACAGTCACGTTTATATTTTGCAAGTCTACAACTTACAGAAAACCATCAGCCAGTACCTGCCCCTTTGGAGTACAAAGAATTGTCTGCCAACCAGTGTTCACGTCTATCCTGTCAGACTGCCCAATAACAGTGGGCCTTGTGACTTGTCCTACCCTCTCTGGTTTCCTTGGGTCTGGGCATAAAAAAACCACCTCTTCTTCCTTTCCAGCAACAGCAAATTAAGCAGAAGACTAACATTTGCCCCCTCCTACAATTTATGTCTTTCTGTGCATATATTTATGCACATTTGTCCATTGTTTTCCCACAGAGAGCCAGAGAAGCTTAAATTAAATTTTAAAAACCCAAACAAACCATAAATAAGTGCACTGAAAACCCTCAACATGCTCTCATTTGTCACAGCAGCAAACCTTGATTGCTTGCTTCCCAAAGTCCTAACACTGGCAAAGTCCTTATATAACCCCCATCTATAGCATTGTAGGATCAACATTGCCCCACACTTGGGACTGCACCATTTGGTGGAGCTCTCCAATTTCACTGATGTGTGTCCTGCTTTCTTTTCTAATGAGTTTTAAAGATCATAGAGATGACCCATTCAGTGGCTGAATATATAGACGACCATTTATCCATGGAGAGACTGATGGGTGCAAAATAGCTCTGCAGCCATCTACCCTATGACAAGAAGGTAATTTCTTCCTACTCATTCAGTTTCCCTGGATCTGATTTGAGTTTGAAACTGTCACAAGCAGACAAACAGTCTACTTCCTTGTGGAATGATATGCTCAATGTGGTAAGGGAAAGGTTGATGTCTGTAGGATCCCTGTAGGATGCCAGTCTGATTAGTTCCTGAAACACCCAGCCAAACACAGAAGAATTTGTCATCGCAAAGCATGTGCCTCTTTAAAAAATACAATAGCAACCCACGGGCTTTCTCTCTAATGTTCCTCCAGTAAAACTCTTCATACTGCAGTAATTCCTTACGGAGAAGAAGGCTAGTTCTGCAAATAGCGATAAGCTCACTTGATTTGATTTTCTGCTATTTAAGTTACTCCTCCCTAACAACAGGAGCGGGTAGTTTTCTGAGATTACGCTCTTTGGTTGTTCCAGCTGTATCCCATGTGTCATGTACACTGATTGCTCATGCATATGAACATGGTAATCTTCTGTACTTCGTTTCATCTTACTTTCTTTATAAAATGTGTAGCTGAGCATTTTAGAGCAAGTAACCAGATCAGAGCTCTATCTCCTACTGCATCTGCTCAACTTGTGAAGATCCTCACAAAGGTAAGACCAGACTAATATGAGCAGTTCCAGGACTGATGGAAGTGGATGTACAGGGTGGTATCCTCTTGCTCCCTGAAGATAAATGCATGTGTTTAAAGACAGGTTTTGTTAGGCACTTAAGATGGGATGAGAGCACAGCCCCTTCACTTTGTGATCCTGGAAGCCTGCAAGCACAAAGATAGCCAATTACCTCCCCAGGAGGAGATATGGAGGTTAAGTTCTGCCTGACATGTAGGTCCCACAGGGACCCTTCAGGCAAGCTATGAACCCAGCAGACCGGTCAAGCACCTGAGAGTGTATTCTCCTCAGATGTGCAATTTAAATATGAGTGATAGCATGTGAGCTTTCTAAGTAGAGAGGTTACAGCTGGGGAGACCCCTTTAAAACGGTGACACCATTACAAGCTGTTACAGTATGAACATAGTATGTTTTTCTTCCCTCCCTTTCTCATTCAATTCAAGTTCATGAGCTCAGGCAGAACCAGGAAATGTTCTTTGGTTCTTACTAAGCAAAACATGGTCTAACAGTGTAGGCTACTGGTTTCCATTACTACCTCCTGTAAGTACACAGTCCACGGTTGGGCTGCCAGGATGAAACTTGTAGAATTAATTCAAATGTACCAGCAAAGTGGAAGACAAGGCAGAGGCCTTCCTCAATTTTTCCTGCACCTTGTATGTATGAAATATTTATTACATCCTAAAGACTCAAATAGCTTCCCATGCCTTTGTCCTCTGCAATAGCGTAGCCATGTATCCTACTTCACAAGAGATAGCCCTCCATCTGAAGGGAAATCAAAGAACGCTCCTAGGTTTCTGGAAGGAGCAATTTGTAGCCCATGGTTGTACCTGGTCCTTAAAAAACCTATTTTATAGCTACCTCAGATGCTCTTCTTCCCATCTCCCTTATCCAACTGCCACTGCTGCTACTATTGTAACACTCCATTACAAAGTTGTGAGAAGATAACCAACAGGTGTGCCACACTGACTGCTAAGTTGGAGATTAAAGTGTCTTCTCCAGTGCTCCTGTGTACATTTGGTCTAAGCGGTATGTGTGTGTAGGTTCTCCTTGTAATAAAGCCATTGAACAAAATGTAAAAAGTTAATCAGATGTCAGAGTAACGCTGGGGGGTTATAATATAATTCTGAAGGGAATTCATTCTAGCATTTGGTAGTGACACAAGAGGCGGCTTTTTCCTGCATGCCTGGCAAACAGACCATTACCTATAATCATTCTTACTTGTACAAGTTGCCTATGATAGCCTTGTCTTCCATGTCTATTCCTTCAGGTAAAACATCTCTTCCAGCTCTACTTGGAGATCCCTGGGACTGAATGTGGAAACTTCTA